CCCCTTATATATGCTTAAAATTAAAAAGCCCAAGTTGCTCGAGTAGACTGCTCTACGTCAGACTATCAGAAGGCCTTTTCTCCCCGGTTCTTGGCCGAAATTACAACCCCAACATGCGGGTTGTAATAGTCTACCATAGGCACTCTTGGAGAAAAAAAGTGAGTTATCTTATTGAAAGGGACAATAGACTATAATTTGCTTTAGAATAATTTATTATTTTTTTTTTGGTGCGAATAGAATAATTTTTTTATTTACTCGTTTCAGAATAATTATTATTGGCAGTTTGATAGGATCTTGTGATTTTCAGGACTTAATCCAGAAAATGCAAAAACATACTAGGTGACCTGACATCCCCATTGAATGACAAGAAGTTGTACATAGAATCACACACACACTTTTCCATCTCTTCAAATCAACAAAAATTAACTTCATACTCCAACAAAATAGAAACATCTCGTCAAATCAACAAAAATTAACTTCATACTCCAACAAAATAGAAATAAATATCTATCTATACATTCAACTATTCAACTACTACTATAGTACTATCATCTTTCAGTCTTCTCTTGATCTTTCCACTAATAAGCAAAATATGAAACAGGAAATGAAAGCAAAATTTTGGACAAAAGAATTTCTACAAGTAGTGAATCAACAATTGTGACCACGCAATCTCAAGAACGTTTAGATCCTTCAGTATCAATCGCGAACTGGCAATAGCGATTCTGCTGCTCTTTTCAATGATTCACTGGCTTTCACCAGATCGGCTTCTGAATGAGCTGCCGACACAAATAATCTAATTCCAACTGGCAGCTTACATTTATCAAGAGTTGACCTCTTTGAAGTAACAATAAAGACAGAATCTTCCTTCAAGACCTACAGTGTATAAGATGTTGCACGAAAACAAACTCGTGAGGTAACTCTAGATGATGAGTTCAAAATTATAGATGGCAACGTAACGTGCATTGAGCAAAATAACTCACATGATCAGCTATATCTTCAAGCATTTGTAGATCACCCTTTGAAGAACCAGTGGACTTCTTTAATGTAAGGAATATAATCGGGGAGAGCGGATCACTTACTATATCTAAGCCTTTTATATCCGATAGACCTGCAGTTATATAAAATAAAAAAAAAATAAAAAAAAAAGGTTTCTTTAGACTCACATAATGGGGATAAGGGAGAAGGAAAAGGTAATCGGTAGTTCAGTACGGGACAAAGACCTTTAGTCAACGTAGCAATATTTTGCCTCAGTTTGACAAGAAGTTCAGGTTTTTCTTCCACGATATCAATAGCCTTAATCGCAGCACTTGCTAAGTAAGGAGGCAGTGAAGCAGAGAAGACATAACCAGAACTACTGAGGCGCTGCCAACATAAGCAAAATAAACCATCAACAAAAGATAGCTGGAAAATACATAAAGAGATACAAGTGCAGACAATGAAAATCATGAAAATGGAATTATCATTGGATAGAGTACACCTTAGTACCTGGTGATCAATGACTCTAGCATTCCCAGTGCAAAAGCCGCCTTCTGTGGCCAATGCATGTCCCATTGCCGCAGTTATTATATCTATCTTGTCAGCCTGCAATTGGATGATTCCGTAAGAGGATGTACACAGAGATACAAGGTTAATTAACCAAAAAATATGATGAACATACCGGAACTTTACAATGTTCAGTTAGACCTCTACCAGAACTGCCAAGCACACCAATGGAATTGCTCTCATCCAACAATACACGGAATCGATATTTTTCCTTCAGCTTGATGATTTCATCTAATGGAGCTACTTTGCCAGAATTCTGCAAATTACGGTCATAAATGAAATCTGGAATTACAAAGCAAAATTTCCCTTGGTAGAAAGTGCACTGAGTGTGTGTGTGTGT